CCAGGGATATTTGGACCCCATACCGCCCCACACAAGCTGGCAGAGCCAGGTCTTTAATCCTTTCTAGAAAGCCGGGAGGGTAGGGGCCTGCCGCACCTCTGGGGGGAGAATATTCCACAGGGCGGGGGCAACGGCAGAGAAGGCTCTCCTCCTGGGCCCTGCCAGCCAACATTCTCTCACTGGCGGGGTCCACAACATGCCCTCTCTGCCAGACCGGGTAGGACAGGTTGATGTGATGGGGATGAGACAGTCCTTCAGGTAACCTGGACCCATGCCATGTAGGGCTTTAAAGATGATAACCAACACCTTGAATTGGATCCAGAAGCAAACTGGCACCCAATGCAGCTCTCACAGCAAAGGTGTTACATGTGCCATCCTTGGGGGATTAATTAATGATTAATTAATTAAGTATTCTACAGCTGGATGGCTGGAATCTTTCTGCTAGGCTAGAATGATAGTTGATTGAAATCATAAGAATTAACAGAATCCCCAAGCATGAATGGCCCTTTGTGTGTATTTCTCCTCACCTGCTTGAGTCTTTGCCTCAAATTCTTCAGCTGTGAGCATCTGATGTCCCTGCAATCGCTGTTTTAGGTTGAAGCGATGCCAATCTAGCCGATAATGCTCCTTCTGAATAGAAATAGTAAGTAGTTCAAAAGATTGACACATGTACCAGATTTCCTGTGTGGTACAACGGGTAAGCAAAGACTCTTTTAATGAAGCTGGTATGCCTTTATGACTTTTCACCTAGAAACTATAATTCCCATTAATACATGGCCGATCTTTGCAGTGATCTGAAGAACTTAAAATCCCCAGGCTTCACTTGAGGCAAAAGATACTGTCCTGTTCAAAGAGAACATACTTTTTACAGAGCAAGTTCAGTAATGCCCACCTGTTCATCTCGATTCTCAAAAGCCTTTGAGCAAACAGAGCAATACATCCGGTCTGATACCTCTAAGACCAGTTTAGCTTGCTGAAGTTCCTTGGTCTCTGCAATGGACAGCAGAACAATGGGCACCGATAACAGCATTAATACAAAATTATGCGATGAATGTATGCCTTTATCAAAATCCAGTCAAAGAAGCAGACACAACATTTCATCAGTGACAGAAAGGAACACAAACACTGTAATAGAAATTGATTATACCAACCTTAAAACTGAAATGAAAACAGATTAAAAAAAAAAAACAATCCTGACATATGGCTCACTAAGAATAATTCAAGTAGTACTTACACATCTGAATTGCAATATTCCCAGGTAGAAAACATAAAGCTTCTTCAGCAATTAAGAGAAAACAGATTCTTTAAGAGTAAGAAATTAATTTTAAATAGTTGATAAAGAAACAAATGTACTCAACTTATACACATATATCATAAAGATTTCAGATGGTGGCTCAGTTTCATTTCCACTTTCTCCATGTCACTCTCCTATTTTAATGCTCTGAAATGATCAGAAGCGTTTGCTTCCTATTCTCAACTAACCTTTACAATTAACCTCAACTTCCTGTAACAACTAAGGAAACCATTCTTTGTTAATAAGGTTAGTTTATCTTGAGAATGGATGTTCCTAATTTTCTTAACTGGTACACCAAAAAGATGATGAGAACAGTATGTAGAAACTCAAGGCTGGCTGAGATTCAATCACATTGTGGGGAAGCAGTGGTTTCCTGATATGTCTAAATTAGGTCATTCATAGGGTCAACTCTCTAGCAATTTCATTCACTCATTAGTGAACTCTCACAACTCTCAGCAATTTCATTAAGAGAGATGCTTAATATAGGTATCTGAGAATTAACCAAGAAGGGCACATCATAGCCAGCTTTTCCCTGGAATACCATACAGAATTACTCTTTCTGCCCTTTTTGCTGTAATTTCAGGACAGCACAGGTACTTTTCAGCTATCCAGATTATATTTCATTCAAACTATATGCCAAACTATCCTGCAACCCATGTACAAGATATGGATTTGGTAATGCTGACCATTTCAAAGGTCCGTCCTATTAAACATAACCATGTTCTAGGAATGCCAAATTCCCATTGCATTTTAACGCAGCTTTTCCTATCCAGATCCCCATCAAATACATTAGGATACTCATACAATTGAATCCTATATCTGCAGAGCAGAAAGTAAAGTTCACCATCAATTAAATCCTCCATACAAACAAAGGATGACAAAGTCATGATTAAGGTAAGAAAGCATTGGACAAACCATGGATTACACTGAGATTATGGCAGAAAGCATTAACCATAATTTGAAATCATTTTTTCAGTCTGGAGAGCAACAGTCTCTTTCTTTGATAGTGTAATTACTCTAGTGGACAAGGCATTTTCCTATTCTGAAATAAGGAGCTGTAACCAACACCCTGGATGACAGGACAAAATTGCAGTCTAATTTGGACAGATTGGAAGACTAGGCTGAGATGAACAAGACATCTTTTAACGGAGAGAAATATCAGGTATTACTTTTAGGAAGAAAAATATAGAACATTGCATACTGTAGAAGTTGGGGAATTCAATGGCTTGGAAACTACATTTGAGAAAAACTTGGCTGTGGTTACTGTCAACAAGATGAACATCAGTCAGCAATGTGAGGCAGCTGCTAGAAAGGCTAATGCAAGTCTAAGCTAAATTAGAAGCATTATATTAAAAAATTGTGAAGTAATTATTCTTCTCCTCTTGGCACTAACAATATAATATCTGGAGTTCTGTGTAGATTTTTGGCAGCACATTTCCAGAAGGATATTGATAAGTTAGAGAGGATTCAGAGATGGTCAGTGAGGATAATACAGAAATTTGAAGATACAGCCAGCGAGAATGAGCTGAAAGAACTTGGGATGTTCAGTCAGGAGAAAAGAAAACTAAGGGGAAACATAAGAGTCATGTTCAGGTACATAAAGGAAACTACATGAAAGGACACAGAAACTAGGACCAGAAATAATAGTTGCAACTACCTAGATTGTTTAAATATAAGGAAAACCTCCTGATGGTGAGATCTGTACAACAATATAGTCTACCTAGGAAGGTTATCAGCTCTTCGTCTCCGGAGGTTTTTAAGAAGACACTAGACAGTCACTTCTCATGAATGGTTTAATTGGCTTTCCTGCACATTGCAGAGGGTAGAACTAAATGATCCTTGTGGTCCCATCCAAGTCCCATCCAACCTGATGATGATCAATTAAATCATGAATGGTTTAACTGGCTTTCCTGCACATTGCAGAAAGTTGAACCAAATGATCCTTGTGGTCCCATCCAAGTTGATGATTCTTTCAGCTCTGGGGTGCAAATATCTGAATTACCAATAGATGGCAGAAAAGAGACATAAAACATTCAACCTGTTTGCTGCCATCTAGTGGTCCAGACTGTTCATGGTTCAGTAGTTCTGAGAACAAGCCAGTGGCAACTGCATTAGACAGCAGAAAATAGGTCAACATTTCAAAGAATGTCAAGTATATCTCAATGTTCCAAAGTCTGAAGTTTATGTTAGGGCAAGCTACTATATGAACAGCAGTCAGTTATTCATTTGTAGTACTCACCTGTAGCCTAATAAAATTAAGTTAGCTAACTCAAGCATTAATTTTCCAGGTTCTAGAGAACCTTTTCAGGTGTTCTAAGCAAGCTAAAATGAAAACACAACCAACTTCAACTCAAAAACTCAAGACTCAATAACTTTACAAATCTGGTAAACAAGTGACCATTGGCCAAATCTCCCCACCCACATCTACATTTATTGCCCTTAAATTCAGCACCTGGAACTGCCACCGAAGTGATATCTCCTGTTGACTCAATGACAACGCAAAGTCCATTCATTAAAGCTGTATTCTGAGCAGCCTCAAACACAGACAAGGTTTCAACAGGTTGCATGATCTGAAAAGATGGAGGAAAATCAGCAAATTTCAAGAACAAAGATACATTTTTATTGTTACATCTTTAAATTCAACAAGGGCTTCTGAGAGTGATACAAATTACCTCTCTCCACCTCCAATGGGCAGTACAAAAGGACAGGAAGAAGCATGACTAAAGCTACCAATTTCATTCTTACCTAAGTAGATTAATATATCATTATAATTACAAGAACTACACCCTTTTCTAATAGTAAGTTACAGCAATAAAAAAGGCTTTATTTCCTACCTAGATTCGCTGTTTTACAGTGAGAAATACCCTGAGGGATATGGAAAGAATTATCAAGAACCCTTCAGCTACACCCCATAAACAAGGAAGTCTATAAAGGATACCAACTCTAGCGCTATAAAAGCTTCTCCCTGATTCCTTTTTTCCCCCATATATAGCATTTCTATGGGCCCTATGCAAAATCCAGTAACTAAGCTGCTATTCCTTATTACCTTGACATAGTGGGATGGTTCAGTGGCCCTGACATGCCAGAATGACCATAAGTTTCTGTAAGAGTATCCTTGGGATTTAGATCTACAAAATGATAGGGCTAAAATCACCTACCCTTATTACCTTGTAATTGCTGGTTCTCCCCAGATGGTTCCCAGTTATCTCTGTAACATCTTACATGTTCTACATAGATTTTTTACCTTGACTTGAATCGGCATACTACTTATTATGGAGCAATAGGTAAATACACTAGTCTCCCATACGATAACCATGTGTACATGTTAAGATAGAGAGAACTATTTATTGTTAAACTGCCCATTATACCATTCATGGTGTCTGACAGTCATAAATCCAATTGTCAGAAATACTGTCTTTCTGACCAAGAGTTTACAATCTTCCTTCTGCAAGATCTAACTTGGGCAACCATTACAAAGGTTGTCAAGTTTCTAGTAATAGCTATGACTTGCAGAAGTTGGATGGTACCCTCTTTTCATTATTATTTGTTTTAGGGGGTTCTTCTGTATTTTAAATCTTGTACCTTGTCTTATAGGTCTAGGGAAGGAAGGAAGGAAGGAAGGAAGGAAGGAAGGAAGGAAGGAAGGAAGGAAGGAAGGAAGGAAGGAAGGAAGGAAGGAAGGAAGGAAGATCAAAAAAGCAAGGAATGAAGCTAAGACTATTCTACAATGGGATAAGAGCTGAGACTGTTAGGGAAGCTAGTCCATTTAGAAAGAATTGTAGAACCAAACCTGAAGAAGGCAATGACAAACCACTTCTGTATTAGCAAAAATGCTGTATGAACATGACTGAAATATTTAGGTGCTAGCTGAACACCTCCCTCAACTTCTCCCTTCTGGGAAAAAGGCTGAATTTTCACAAGTAGATCTGATGATGTGTCCAACTAAAGCTGCAAGGCTGCCTGGTCACCGATAGTGCCAGTATTGAAAGAAGAGGGGTTTTTTTTCTCTCTCTCTCTCCCTCCCTCCCTCTCTCATATTTATATGGCTGCCCATCTCACATGATATGACTCTGGATGGCATACAAACAAATAATAAAAAACAATTTAAAAAACATTTAGGAAATATAAAAATATTACGAAAAGGCTAAGAGAGAGTGTCAGATTACAAACAATGGAGCCACCTCATCAGATCACCACTCCCTTGCAACCCCCAGGCTGCTGACACAACCAGATTTTAAGGGACTCCTGGAAAGTTGGCAGAGATGGGGCCTATCTCACCTCAGGAGGGATGATGTTTCACAGGGCAGGTGCCACAGCAGAAAAAGGCCCATCTCCTGGGTCCTGCCAAATATAACTCCTTAGCAGGGATCCGCAACATACCTCTTCTGCCAGACGGGCAGATGTAATTGGAAAGAGGCAGTCCCTCAAATAACCTGGCCCCATGCCATGAAGGGCTTTAAAGGTCAAAACCCACACCTTGAATTGGGGCTGGAAGCAAACTGGCAACCAATGCAGCTCACGGAGCAGAAGTGTAACGTGTGCCGCTCTAGGGGCACACATAACTGCCCGCACTGCCGCATTCTATACCAGCTGAAGCTTTGGATACTCTTCAAGGGCAGCCCCATGTAGAGCACATTACAGTAGTTCACCTGGGAGGTGACCAGGGCATGAGTGAACATGAGCAGAGCCTTCCAATCCAGGAATGGGCACAAATGGCACACAACATGAAGCTCTGCAAGGGCCCTCCTAGCTACGACTGCCACCTGCTCTTTGAGCAGGAGTTGTGAGTCTAGAAGAACCCCCAAGTTGTGCACTGGCTCTGTCTGGGGCAGTGCAACCCCATTCAATACCAAAGATGGCATAGTCCCAGAACTGACAGACCAAAAACCCAGAGCCACTCAGTCTTACCAGGGTTCAGTTGAAATCTGTTGTTCCCCATCCAGACCCCCACTGCTTCCAGGCACTGGGATAAGACATCAACAGCATCACTTAATTTGCCAGGGGCAGAGTTGTATAATTGGGTATCATCAGGGTACCGATGATACCTCACCCTGTGGCGACAGATGAACTCACCCAGCAGCTTCATGTAGATGTTAAAAAGGATTGGAGAGAGCACTGAACCTTGCGGCACCCCACACAGTAGGCGCCGAGGGCAGGATCTCTCCTCCCCAATCACCACTGACTGGTATCGACCCTGGAGAAAGGAGGAGAACCAGCAGAATACAGTGCCACCCACCCCCAATCCCTAGAGCCAGTCCAGAAGGATACCATGGTTGATGGTATTGAAAGCCACTGAGAGGTCAAGCAGAGCTAGAATGGATGCATATCCCCCATCCCACTCCCGCCAGACATCATCTAAAAGTGCTAACAATGCTGTTTCCAACCCATATCCAGGTCTGAATCCTGAATCCTGAAAATGAAAGGGCTCCAGATAATCCGCTTCATCCAGGGTCCTCTGAAGCTGTTGTGTAACCACCTTCTCTACTATCTTCCCTAAAAAGGGAGAGGTTAGATACTGCATGAAAATTGTCCGGTATAGTGGGGTCCAGCAATGGTTTCTTGAGGAGGGGGCAAACCAAGGCCTCCTTGAAAGGTGAACAAACAACCCCCTCACCCAAGAAAGAATTCACCACTGCCAGAACCCACTCACATGACACCCCTCCCCCCAGGCAGCTTTAATTAGCCAGGAGGAGCATGGATTTAAAGAGCAGATGGCCGAGCTCACAGTCCTAAGGACCCTGTCCACTTCCTCAGACCCAACAGGTTCAAACCATTCCCAGATAACAGGGCAAGACTCCACCCCAGGCATCTGGCCAGAACTGCAACAAGGCCAGCAACCAGCTGCAAAGGAATTTGAGCAACTATATGCTTGGCTGTAACCTAATAAATGACAGAATCATATCTTCTACAATTAGTGGATATTCAGTGAACATTAATATTACAGGAGGCTAGGCCTCTACTAAAGGCACAACAATAAAAGACACTGAGGAAATCTATGTCTAATTGCATGGGATACTAAATGTAATACCAAGAAGGATGTACTACTCCAACACAGAACTTGGAAAACTAGAAGAACTTGGAATTACAGCAAGATTTGGGGTGGATAAATGCAATTTTTTGCTGGTAACTGCTTTAAGCAACATGAATACAGACTTTACACACAAACATCACAAGATGCACTAAATTGGATTCAAACAATTATATAATAGGAAAGAGAAGATGGAGATGTGCAATTCAGTTAGTTAGAGCACCTACAGGTGCAGATTGTGGAACATAAATTATTGTTGTCAGAATATTAAAAAGAGAAGACGTGCTGGCAAGATTTGATCCAAAGAATATACAGTCATAAAGATCAAAGTAAGGAACATTTTCAATGTGCTTAGCATGTGGAAGAGAACCTGAGACATTGTGGAAAGAGAAAAGAGATGTTGAAATTGATAGAAAAAAATCCCAACATTTTGAAAAGGAAAAGATCCAAGTGGCTTTCAGAACAAGCTATAATAATAGCCAAAGACAGATGGAGGATTAAAGCTTTAAACATCAAGAAAGATGTAGAGTGATTAAATGCATTCTTCCAATATGTTGCAAGAAAGAACAAGGAAAGACAAGAATACCAACAAATTGAAAAAAAAAAGCAAGAAAAGGTAAATGAACAATATTTTAAGAGAAATCAAGAAAATTTAAAAGTAATGCAGGAATACCTACAAGTAATCACTGGAGAGCTGTTATAGACAAATGGAGTTAAAAGAAGATGGAAATACTACACTGAAATTCTTTATATACAGGATTCTAAAATGATACACATTTACAGAGACAGAATATATATTCAGGAGCCAACTCAGTTAGAAAATTATATACAACACATACCAGATATAGATGAAATACTCATTGAGTATTAGAACTAACATTTCTAAAATATAGAACAAAAATGATGCAACCTAGAGACTGGAACAGATCAGTGTAGATATCTCAGTTTGCTTAAATTTTTAAAAGAAGAATTGAACAAAACATAGTGAGAGAAATGTCAAATGTACAGGCAGGTTTCAAAAAAGGCAGGACATGGAATCAGATAACTGTAACAAGATGGATAATGAAGAGAACAAGCAAATTTGAGGAGGTTGTTGCTTTTATTGAGTAGTGCAAGGCCACTGATTGTGTAGGTCATACCAGAATATGCAGTATATTCAGACTAATGGGAGTGCCAGAACACCTTTGAGAAATGCAGATAACACAACATTTGTTATGAAAATAAAAATAGAAAGTAAAACATTTTGGTTAATGTTAAATAATGTCAAGCAGCATGCTCAGTGAACTTACAGCTGATGGTGAGGAAGTGAAGGTGAGATGTTTTCTTTGGCTCAAGATGGACAGTGTGCTGGAGAAGTAAAGAGGGGATTAATCCTAGAGAGGAACACAAATATATACATCATTTCTATGACAACAAACAGCAGAATGGTTAAAGCTATAGTCTTTCAGTGATAATGTATGAAAGGTAGGCCGTAAGAAACAGTGAACG